TAATTTGAAGTGCCCTAATCAGAAAGTCATACTCCCCAGGTGGCTACTTAAGCGTTTCAAAGATCTTCATCGAAATTTACACCAAGAGATTCATTCATTACCATAAGGGATATTAGAAATACATTTTCATTAGTGAAACAAATGGTGTTCCAGATACATGGCTAGCTAAAAAGATTTCACAGCCCTAGCACTCTTGTGAAAAGAGGTCCAAGAACACTTGACCAGAGTGTCAATTCCATGAGAGCAGGAATTTTATTGGCTTTACTCATAACTATAGACTCAGTGCTAAGAACAGGGCCTGACACATAATAGACACTAAAGATATCCTCTATATGACGAATAAGTTGCTGGAAAGCCCAGTAACCTACTACTTCCTAGGCCTGTTCTATTGGATTCTGTGTTGTCCACCTCTCCCCATTACCTTCTGTTCCATCTACTGACAAACCGGAACAGTTGGGCTAATTATGCTCTCAGAGTGAACCTCTCATATAAGATATTTGAAGGCATGCTTGAGGACAGAGAGTGAGACTTTCCTGAAACATGAGTAGGTTATATGACTTTCTGCTCACTTGCTCAAAAAAGTTTATATGTTTGGAAGAGTTTGGGCTCAGCCTTGTTTTCCTTGTAATCTACCACCTGATATTAATGTTGGAGGAAGGCATGCTTCTATCTAGTCTAATCAATGGATATTTTTGATATTTGCTAAAAGAATCTACCAGTTGCCCTGGCCGGTTTTACTGACTTTTTAGAGATTTGATGAATAAAATATATTTTTTAAAAATATATTTTTATTGATTTCTGAGAGGAAGAGAGAGAGAGAAACATCAGTGATGGGAGAGAATCATTGATCAGCTGCCTCCTGCACGCCACCTACTGGGGATCAAGCCCACAACCCAGGCATGTGCCCTTGACCAGAATCGAACCCGGGACCCTTTGTTTTGCATGCAAGCCGATGCTCTATTCACTGAGCCAAACCTTCGAAGGCTGATGGATAAAATATTAACTGGTATTGTAATGTGTATGCTACAATAACTAATCCATCAAATTCAATTTTCATAATTAAGAGTTTTAAACATTGAAAAAAGTTTTTTGGTTAGCAAGTCAGATATAAAATACATGAAAGGATAAAAAATGTGGGGTGTGTGTTATTTACCTTTCACATTTTGCTTACCTTTTTATTGATAGTTTATAGGAAAATCATTTACTAAATTCAAAACAAGCAATTAGCCCCAGCTGGTTTGGCTCAGTAGATAGAGCGTTGGCCTGTGGACTGAAGGGTCCCAGGTTTGATTCTGTTTAAGGGCACATGCCCAGGTTGCAGGCTTGATCCCTTGTAGGGGGCATGCAGGAGGCAGCCAATCAATGATTCTCTCTCATCATTGATATTCCTATCTCTCTCGCCCTCTCCCTTCCTCTCTGAAATCAATAAAAAATATTTAAAAAACAACAACAAAAAAAAACACAACGAGAAATTATCCAAAATACTAGACATGCCTATGATCTACTTATTGTGGAAAGTTGCCAGCCAAAGCAGTTATGTCTCAAAATGGTTGTATTGACAGAAATATTATAACTCAAAAATGATAATCCTTCCCCTGGCTGGTGTGGGTCAGTTGGTTGACCATGGTCCCATACACCAAAAGGTCTCTGGTTCGATTCCTGGTCAAGGCACATGCCCATGTTGCTGGCTTGATCCCCAGTTGTGGGAGTGTAGGAGGCAGCCATCAATCAGTGTTTCTCTCTCACACTGATGTGTGTGTGTCTCTCTCTACCCCCTTCCCTTTCTCTCTCTCTCTCCCAAATCAATAAAAACGTATTTTTTAAATAGTAGAATCATTATTCGGTTGTGTTTTGGTTGAATTGCAATCTACCAACTGGGAAAGCTTTTATTGGATTTCTAGTTCTTTTTTTTTTTTTTTAAATATATTTTATTGATTTTTTACAGAGAGGAAGGGAGAGAGATAGTCAGAAACATCAATGAGAGAGAAACATCGATCAGCTGCCTCCTGCACATCTCCTACTGGGGATGTGCCCGCAACCCAGGCACATGCCCTTGACCGGAATCGAACCTGGGACCTTTGAGTCCGCAGACCCACGCTCTATCCACTGAGCCAAACCGGCCTCGGCTGGATTTCTAGTTCTTTCCAGTTTTCCGATCTTCCTGTAAGATGCTCTGTCTTTCCATGCATGTTTTCTTTAGATTCCCAGTCAATCAGAGAATATGGTCATTATGCTGCTATTGATCCTGCTCAATACGGCAGTATCAAACCGCAGAATGAGGAACCTGAAATAAAGGTGCAAAACGGGCTATCGCTGCATATTCTAGAGACTTTTTCGGAAGTATCTCACGTATAGGGAGGTGTCTCACATGGATGGGGCAGTCATCTCAGCTTGAATCTCAACTGGGTCTGTTGCTGGGAGTCAAGCATGTCTGGGCACGTCTGGCAAACGGGTGAGTCAGGACAGAAGGAAACCTGCTGACATGGGGGCTGAGACTGCTTCCTAGAACAGAACTCATTTTAATGGAAGAGAGATTTAGACAGAGAAGCCCTATAAGAAAGACTTAGTCATTGGATGGGGAGTAATAAATACGGCGTGGGGTAGCTGTTACTCAAGTCTGTCGCCAATCTGGGCCCATGAAAGCATGTCTGGGTCCCTAAGAGAAACAGAGCTCTGAGTAAAAGCATAAAGAGCCATTTCACTGGAAACTATGATATTAGGTGCAAGCAGTCTGCTTTGGGGTTCCCCTAAAAAAGGTCAAACACCAGGATCTCCATTTCTTTAGCTGACACCATGGCTTTGGGTGTTTTGTTTGTATCACAGATCCTGACAGGAGCCTGCAGCACCTAGAGGAGCAGAGCAGAAGGGGCCACTGGGAGAGAGGAGTCTGTGAGCACATGAGAGGCCCCACCCCAGGGGCCAGAGAGCTGGAGGTGTCCTCACTAGGTTAGTAGGCTTGATAGGTAGAACCAGTGACATAGAAATTACTGTTGCTATATCGGACCCATTAGTGCTGTAGTCAATGAGTCTGAATGCTATTCCTAATCAAATAGCTCTTATGCAATGGTGTGTTCTTGGGGGAATTCATAATTATTAATTACCAAGCAAGAAGGAGGGGGCTATAGAACACTGGTTCTCAATCTATGAGGGACCAGGGTTTTTTTTGTGTGTGTGTTTTTTTTTAAAATTTCCAGTGGACTAATATTTTTGCAAAATATGTGCAAGTTAGTTATGAGAATAATCAAATAAACAGATGAAATAAAAAAATAGAAGCCCTGGTTGGTTTTTTTAATTATTATTATTATGTTCAACAGTCATAAAATTACTCTATCAAGTTGTGGTAAAGTTTTCAATACTTCTCTAACTGCAGACTGGTAATGAACAGTTTGTGGATGGGACTGATCTGTAGAACTCGTTTCCCGGTTTTATGAAGCTTCCACCTGATGCCACCTGAAGGGACTCCATCACCTGGAGCTCCTGCCTCTAGTCACACACATTAGTGAATGGGATAACGACACTGTGACACTGTGGTCGTGTAGGAGAGTGCCCTTGTTCTAAATAGATGTGTGCAGAGTAATGATGTCTGCAACTAAACATAGAGGGAGAGAGGGAATGGGAGAGGGGGTAGAGGAAGGTGAGTAAGGGGAGAGGGGGAGGGGGAGAAAGGAGGAAAGAGACCAGAGAGAAGACAGAGGGACACAGCCTGCACATATTTGGCAAAAGATTAGTAATTGATGTTATGCAGGTGTACAGGTGTTTATTATCCAGTTCTTTCTAATTATGAGATTTGTAGTTCAAAACCCCCCCCCCCAAAACCAAAAAAACACTTTCTAAAAAACAACAACACAGCTCTAACCGGTTTGGCTCAGTGGATAGAGGGTGAAGGGTCCGGGGTTGGATTCAGGCGTGCAGGAGGCAGCCGATCAAGGATTCTCTCTCATCATTGATGTTTCTATCTCTCTCTCTCCCTCTCCCTGCCTCTCTGAAATCAATAAAGATATATTTAAAAAACAAGGACAACAAAACTTTCCAGTGATAGGAAACACCCTTTTCTTCAAAAGCCCAGTTCCAAGATAGCTCACTTTACTCTTCAGTATATATATTGCAGCTCGAGCATTCATTTGTGGCTTTGATACCTGCCATTACCACATGTCTAATCTCCATTAACTTTTCACTCTTTTCAGAATGTCTCCTATATATTTGATACCCTTACGACATAACTTTAATCATATCACACCTTTAAAAAAATATCTCAGTGTGTACCTGTTGTCTTTCAAAGTAGAATGTTTTATTCAAGATTTTCTGCAATCTAATCTTTAACTCTTGTTTTAGCTTTCTAGCTTTGCTTTCTCATGTTAACACCATCATAAAAAATTTTTATGCTTTCCCATGTTATTGCTTCACACCTCTCGAAATTTCCCCTTAAAAAGGATTCCATTCTATACACTCTTCAAGATCAAGCTCAAATTAATTAAACTTAGATGTAGTTATATATCTTACTATACAAATTGTTCAAATCCTATATTGGCCATGAAGTTTTCCTTGATTAACTCAGCCAAACACTAACCTTAATCTCCAGGGCTTAATCCAGTGTCTAACAGGGGTGGGCAAACTTTTTGACTCGAGGGCCACAATGGGTTCTTAAACTGGACCGGAGGGCCGGAAGAAAAGCATGGATGGAGTGTTTGTGTGAACTAATATAAATTCAAAGTAAACATCATTACATAAAAGGGTACGGTCTTTTTTTTTTTTAGTTTTATTCATTTCAAACGGGCCGGATCAGGCCAGCGGGCTGTAGTTTGCCCACGGCTGGTAGCATATACACTTAGTACAGTATATACTTTTAACTTCTTTAATAGTTCTTTTTTTTTTTTTAAGAATGTTTTTATTAATTTCTGAGAAAGGAAGGGAGAGAGGGAAAGATAGAAACTTTTTTTTTTTTAGACTTAAAAGAAGTTGATTAGTGAAAGGGGCTGTGAGGCGGTGGGCTGGGTGCTACGTCAGCTGCCCACCTTGTCCTCCTGCTGCATCTGGGCGATCAGCTGCTGCCGCTCGGCTGCTTGGCTCATGCGCATCATGACGAGGCTTTCGTAGTCCCTCTCGGACACCACTGAGCCCTGTGACCATCCTGGGTGGCTGGGGCCGTCCTTGCCCTGGGGCCCTCCCTCCAACCAGGAAATCTTCAGAGGATTATCCACCAGGCCCACTTCATTCTGGACAGCCAGCTCCGCAGCCTTGATGGTCGCAAACTCCACCACGGCGGTGCCTGCCTTCTTGCTGGAAAGTACCAGGTTGAGCACCTCCCCGTACTTTTGAAGAAGCTGCAGGAGGACATCTCTGGAGTAGCCGCCTTTTGAACCATCCTCTCTGCACTTCCATTTTAGTTTTATCTTGGGAGTTCCTTTGCCTTCAGGATTTTCTGCCTTTCCTCGCAACCTTTGCTCCCGTTCCTGGCGTATCTGCTCCTGCATCAGCCTCTGCTGTTTTTCCAGCTGCCGGGAACCCTCTTCTCGCAGGCGTTGGATCTCCTGCTCCAGTGTCCTGGTGCTCCCGCTCTCCTCCTCCTCCTCCTCGTCCTGGGCCTGGGCCTGCCGCTCCTGGGCCTCCAGGTCAAGCTTCATTTTCTTCTTTCTCTCATCTAGTTTCTGGGTCCTCTCTGCTGCCTGCTTCTTGGCTTTCCTGATCTTGTCATACTCGGCCCTAGCTGCAGCGTCAGTCAGTACCTCCCAGGCCTGAGAAAGCTGGTGGAAGAGTTCAGCTGCTCTGGGATTACCCGGATGTTTGTCTGGATGGCAGGAGCGGACCTTCTGCCTATATGCCTTCTTTACCTCTTTGTCCGCCACCTTCTCCTCAATGCCTAGCAGCGCGTATAGGTCCATCTGTAAGAGCTCCTTGGCCACCGACATGGTTCCAACCCTGACCAGATTCGTACTACAACTCCCAAGAGTCTAAACGTGCCTGGGACTCTTCCCAAAGACTGTCCAAAACATTTTTGAGAGAGAACTATCCATCAGCTGCCTCCTGCACACCTGCTACTGGGGATCAAGCCCACAACCTGGGCATGTGCCCTTACCTCCTGGTTCATGGGACAATGCTCAACCAACTGAGCCACACCAGCAGGGCTCTAATAGTTCTTAAATTACAATATGTTGGGGTCCAACCCCAGCAGGTCCAAGGGTTCCCAAAGGTGTGGACGGAGTCGGCGAAGAAGAAATGACACGGAGACAGTGTTCAGTTGATCAGCAGTCTAGCCAGGTTCTCTAGTCAGGTTCTGTAGCCAGGTTCTGTAGCCAGGTTCTGTCTTTACTCTCCTGTTACATCTGTATTTATACCAGTTGATTTTAATCCTATCCATTCTATTCCAAAGGTTAGGGTGTTTGTTATCTCCATTCCAAGGTCACTACTCTATTCTGTTAAGCTACAAGGAAGTAACTGAAGGAGATTATCCTAAGTAAAGATTATGTAGCTTAAGCTTTATTGTTCATAGTTAAAGTGATTAACTTCCCCGCCTGGCACTTAGTTAAGGGGTTTTACTGATTTATTCCCTTCCTTAGTCCTGTTAAATCCCTAACTTCAGGGAAAAATCCCTACCTGGGGAAACAACCTTTCTCAGAGAGGTGACCTTGGTTAAAACACATAGCGCTAAGAAGGGGAGTAAACATATTAAGGACAGTATGCCATATACGCCAGGTCCCTTGAAACATATGCTGTACAGATGTTTCTTCCCTGCAGCGACTGTGTCAAGCAGCAAGGACGGACCCGCTTCCGGCAACAATACAGGATGATAATACATTACTTGTCTATCTCAAAGAATGGCATGGAGGTTAAAATGTTTGAGGTTAGTATTTTGCATTGTACCCGTCTGAAGGTATCTGTCAACCATAATGCCTCTTACTATTTATTATTTTTATTTTTGCTTTTCCTTGAGGCAACTTATGGAATATAAAAGCTGACCGAGGCCTAAGACAGTGGACATAATACTGGGGTACTCAAGCTATTTGAAGACTTTCCAAGATGTGTGTGCACAAGCACGGAGAATTTGTTTTAAAGTAATCAGTTCTCTGATCCTAACTTCCTATCGGTAGCCATCCCCAAAACCCATCTGCCTGAAAATGTGCCCAGGGGTCAGAGTGACAGAACCCTGCTTTCCTGCCTCCCTTATTCCAATTGTCCCTCCCCTACTTTACAAACAATGGCATAATTCTTCCCAGCCCAAATCTTACTAAAGTGTAATACCCAGGGGGGATGCAAAACCTTCAAGACAATAAAAAAGAAACAATGGACTGGAGAAACAGAATGGGTTAACACATCCTTTCATAAGTTAGGTGGTTTTCAGTTGCTTATTTCAACAAAGTTGAAAGAGAACCTAATCAGAATTGTCAGCTGATAGATCATGAAAAATATTTTCTCTTTGTTAGATCTTTATGTGATTTTTTTGGCATATAATTAGAATGAGTTTCAATGAATGGCATTACTATAACAAAAGTCCATTCTCATCTACTTATTTATATGGACTAGTTTTCTCAATGCTTACGTTCATGGAATTGAAAACTTGGAATAGAATTAATGCTGAATTCATTCTCATTCTAGTAATACTCATGCATGGATAGAATAAGCTGGTTGAAAAATAAAATGCATCCAATTCCATTTCTGTAAGATGCATTCCCAACAAAATTTTACTTTTATGTTTACTTATAAATATTTGCAATCTATTTGTTTTATCAGTTGAAATAATAAGATTTAGAGTTTTATGATCAGGGAATTTATAAACTACCCTTAAATTTCAATTTATATACACATTTTAAAAAAAATATATTTTATTGATTTTTTACAGAGAGGAAGGGAGAGAGATAGAGAGTCAGAAACATCGATGAGAGAGAAACATCGATCAGCTGCCTCCTGCACATCTCCCACTGGGGATGTGCCCACAACCCAGGCACATGCCCTTGACCGGAATCGAACCCGGGACCCTTCAGTCCGCAGGCCAACGCTCTATCCACTGAGCCAAACCGGTTTCAGCTATATACACATTTTTATTAAAAGGAAATATAAGATGATCAATAAGAATTCAAATACAAAATTTATTATGGTAAAACTCTGGAGAGGATGTGGAATGCAAACATCAATTCCAGAAGATAAAGGATGAAAACTGTTCAAGTATAAGAGACTATTTTAAAAAGTAGGTATTAGTTAAGGTTAATAAATCTCTCTGGTTTTTAAAGTTCACTCGCTATAGGTGAAAAAGTGTGACAGTTACGAACTATTTGTAACAAGCGGGGAGAAATGTTGATGTCCCTTTGAACAAAATTGTTCCAAAGGGCTCACGAGCCAAAAAGTTTGAGGATCCTGAACAGCCAAGATGTCCTTGCTCTGAGACTGACGGAACTCTTCCTGGAGGGACGCAAACGCAGGTTGGAGCGAAACCTGTGGCTCTGCGTGGGCGCTTGTGGATTTAGTCCCTTGCATTGTATTATTTCTTGTTCGTGTGAAATCGCCCCTCCTCGTAAGACTGTAAGCTCTCGGAAGACCAAGGGCTTGCTCGATTTCTGGGCTCAGTGCCGGTGCCCTGGGGACACTCCCCACACCCCCGCGCAATGAATGACTCTGTCGTGAGAACTCGGAGGGCTGTTACATCCCCGCTGGCGCTCGGGTTTCTGTGCGGCGCGTCCCGCCCGCTGCGAGGCCAGGCCCGCGAAGGCGTGGGAAGGCCCGAGGGAAACTCTGAGCGCTCGGCGGCCGGGAGGGGCGGGGCGGGGGCCGGGCGGGGACCGGTTTGGGGCGGGGGAGCGGGGGGCGCGGGCGCGGAACCGGGGCGGGGGAGGTGCCGCCGCGCAGGCGCGCCGCCGTCTCCGCGTGCGCGCTGTCCCCGCGCGGGCGCCGTAGCGCGTGTGCAGGCTGACGCAGCCCGAGGGCCCTCCTCTTGCTCCGCAGCGGCGTCGGTGGAGTTTTGGGCGTTAAGGGAGGGGGCGCGGGAGCCGAGCCGCGAGAGGGAGGCGGCGGGGAGGAGGAGGAGGAGCAGGCGCCGCCATGGCCGCCGCGCTCACCGACATGGCCGACCTAGAGGAGCTCTCCCGCCTGAGCCCTCTGCCCCCCGGCAGCCCCGGCTCGGCGGCGCGGGGCCGGGCGGAGCCCCCCGACGAGGACGAGGACGAGGAGGAGGAGGAAGAGGAGGCGGAGGCCGAGGCGGTGGCGGCGCTGCTGCTGAACGGCGGCGCCGGGGGCGGCGGCGGCGGCGGCGGCGTGGGGGGCGGCGAGGCGGAGACGATGTCGGAGCCGAGCCCCGAGAGCGCCAGCCAGGCCGGGGAGGACGAGGACGAGGACGACGAGGAGGACGAGGAGGAGGAGGACGAGGGCAGCAGCAGCGGCGGCGGCGAGGAGGAGAGCAGCGCCGAGAGCCTGGTGGGCAGCAGCGGCGGGAGCAGCGGCGACGAGACGCGCTCGCTGAGCCCGGGCGCCGCCAGCAGCAGCAGCGGCGATGGGGACGGCAAGGAGGGCCTGGAGGAGCCCAAGGGACCGCGGGGCGGCCAGGGCGGCGGCGGGGGCGGCAGCGGCAGCAGCAGCAGCAGCGTCGTCTCCAGCGGCGGCGACGAGGGCTACGGGACCGGGGGCGGCGGCAGCAGCGCGACCTCCGGGGGCCGGCGCGGCAGTTTGGAGATGTCGTCGGACGGGGAACCCCTGAGCCGCATGGACTCGGAGGACAGGTGAGTGCCCGGCGGCGTCTCCCGGTTCCTCTACCCTCCCTCCCTCCTCCCGCGCTCCCGGGCCGGGGGGACTTTTTGGCCGCGATGCCCCCCGTTCCCAGGGCCCCTCCCCCAGGCGCCCCCCTCGGAAACCTCCGGGCCGCCCCGCCCCTCTGGCCGCGGATAGCGGCTCCCAACTCTCAGACCCTGTCCCCCCGCGCTGCCCGGCGCCCCGCACGGCCCCTCGGACGGCCCCGACGCGGAAGCCGCCCCCCGAGCAGGCCCGGCCCTCGGTGGGAGCTGCAGCGGCCCCGGGGGCGCACGCCCGGCCCACGAGGTTAGCGTCCGCCGCGAGCGCGAACACTTGTCAGAACTGCAATTGACAAGTGCTTTCCAACATGGCTGGTCTCGCTCGGATTGCACAGAACTTCCTTGTTCGGGGAGGAGACCCCCAGCTGCCCCTCTTCTTTACTTAAAAAAAAAAAAAAAAAAAGGGAAAAAGAACAAGAAAAGGCTGTTCTTTTTTCTGTTTAACCGCTGCTTCCAAAACGCCTTCCGGGTAGTCGTTAACGTGGTCTCCAAAGGGATGTAAATAACTTCTGTGAGTCCCGCGAACAAATCCGGGAGAAAGTTGAAAGCGAGTCCATCGTTGTAGCCAAGAAAGATGAATTTATGGCGTTTGCAATAACTTCGCGGGAGCAGAGAGAGCTGGAGTGGGAACGAAAGACGCTCGCGAAGGGACCTGCATATTGGTAGGCGGTGTAGTATCCTTGTGTAGTGAGGCTTCGTGATTGTAGGCGGCAGGATTTGCAGCCCTGTGTTGGAGAGCGCTGAAGGAATTAGCATTCTTCTAAAGTTCGTGGGGAGTAGCGTGGGGACTGGCCAGAAATGCGCTTCCCTTTTTTCGGGACATTAAAATGACTGCCATTATTATGTTTCGATTGTTGCTGTTACTTTTGGGCTCTTTGGAAAACTTCCTATTTTAAGTAATTGGTCTTAATGTACTTTTTAACAACAGCACTCCCTCATTCATGCTGTACTGCTTCTAAAGTATATTAGCACTTGTTTTGACCATCTGCTAATGTTTAGATGAGCAGTCGATTTTTAAATCATCTCTATTGACTTGGATTTAAAGGTTTTAAGTATTCTAAAGTTCTAGGGATAACGATGGTTAACTGAGAAAAATTTATGTAATGAGGAATACAAGGCCCTACATATTTTGGAAATAC